CTGGAAGGTCAGGGGGGAGCTTTACAGGAGCCGGACGCCATGGTGATATGTGGCCTTTTGAAGGCCCTGGCCAGCCGACACAACCAGACAGTCGGGTAGGGACTGTGTTAACCACTTGATGAGTGAGGATTTAGGCACTCAAGAGGTGGCCCGGGCTTCAGTAGACCCTAAGTGGTAGAAGTCTAGAGTGAATGTGATCTTTGGTCGTCGTAAACTAGCTGTTTGAGGATTGACTCATCATGGAGATGAGTGATTAAGTAGAGGTGTGTGGTGGGATGAGAGTAGAGGTGGAGGCTTAGCGTGAAGTAAGGTCGCCAGAGCAGCGCGTCTCCGCAATACTAAGCTAAGGAAAAAGACAGCCTCAGAAAATCCCCTTCTTCGAGTACTTCTTAAAACCCACAGGTCTTAGGAAGTACGTTAAGAGGCCTGTCACACCTCCCTGGAGACCTCCGATGCATTACAGAATGAACGCTGAAGAGTCGTAGCTGTGTCCCCCACAAGGTAACACAACAGAAGCAGCCACAACACAAGAAAATAGTTTATAAGAAAGTCTTGGTTGTGGCGTACATGGGGGCAAGATGCTCCGTGTAGAGATGAGGAGAGTAGGTGACGGGTCTGCTATCAGTGAGAAGGAACTCAGGGTCTGCTATCAGTTAGCAGTTATCAGGGTGAGAGGGTCTGCTATCAGTTAGCAGTTATCAGGGTGAGAGAGTCTGCTATCAGTTAGCAGTTATCAGGGTGAGAGGGTCTGCTATCAGTTAGTAGTTATCAGGGTGAGAGGGTCTGCTATCAGTTAGCAGTTATCAGGGTGAGAGGGTCTGCTATCAGTTAGCAGTTATCAGGGTGAGAGGGTCTGCTATCAGTTAGCAGTTATGAGGGTGAGAGGGTCTGCTATCAGTTAGCAGTTATCAGGGTGAGAGGGTCTGCTATCAGTTAGCAGTTATCAGGGTGAGAGGGTCTGCTATCAGTTAGCAGTTATCAGGGTGAGAGGGTCTGCTATCAGTTACAGAGAACCCGCCAGGGCTGTGAGGTGGGCTCGAACCTGCGACTTCGGCATTGCCAAGTCGCATCCTCTACCACTATTAGTGCTGAAGCGGTAAATACTCTACGACCATTAGGGCTAGAGTGGTAGATACTCTACGACCATTAGTGGTAGAGTGGTAGATACTCTACAACCATTAGTGGTAGATACTCTACGACCATTAGTGGTAGAGTGGTAGATACTCTACGACCATTAGGGCTAGAGTGGTAGATACTCTACGACCATTAGGGCTAGAGTGGTAGATACTCTACGACCATTAGTGGTAGATACTCTACGACCATTAGGGCTAGAGTGGTAGATACTCTACCACCATTAGTGGTAGAGTGGTAGATACTCTACCACCATTAGTGGTAGAGTGGTAGATACTCTACGACCATTAGTGGTAGAGTGGTAGATACTCTACGACCATTAGTGGTAGAGTGGTAGATACTCTACCACCATTAGTTTTTTTATATATAAAAAAGCAAAGTACAAATACAGGGAACAAAAGCAAAACAAGATATAAATACAAACAAGCGGGCTTATACACAAGACAAAACAAACACCATGAAATAGACACAAAACACATACAAGAGGTCACAGGAAAACACATACAAGAGGTCACAGGAAAACACATACAAGAGGTCACAGGAAAACACATACAAGAGGTCACAGGAAAACACATACAAGAGGTCACAGGAAAACACATACAAGAGGTCACAGGAAAACACATACAAGAGGTCACAGGAAAACACATACAAGAGGTCACAGGAAAACACATACAAGAGGTCACAGGAAAACACATACAAGAGGTGACAGGAAAGCACACGGGACACGAGCAAAGACAAACCCACAAACATCACGGGACAGAGAATGTATACAATACACAACAAATAAAGGACATAAGTACAGTAACAAAAATGAACAAGAAAAAAAAAATACACAAAAAGTACAACAAATGTACAGAAAGTCAACCGCCCCAAGAACAGAAATATTCAGCAAGCATAAGAAATATTGCCGGAACAACCGTGGACATTTTCAAGAGGAAACTAGATTTATTCCTCCAAGGAGTGCCGGACCAACCGGGCTGTGGTGGGTATGTGGGCCTGCGGGCCGCTCCAAGCAACAGCCTGGTGGACCAAACTCTCACAAGTCAAGCCTGGCCTCGGGCCGGGCTTGGGGAGTAGAAGAACTCCCAGAACCCCATCAACCAGGTATATGTGGGCCTGCGGGCCGCTCCAAGCAACAGCCTGGTGGACCAAACTCTCACAAGTCAAGCCTGGCCTCGGGCCGGGCTTGGGGAGTAGAAGAACTCCCAGAACCCCATCAAGCAGGTATATGTGGGCCTGCGGGCCGCTCCAAGCAACAGCCTGGTGGACCAAACTCTCACAAGTCAAGCCTGGCCTCGGGCCGGGCTTGGGGAGTAGAAGAACTCCCAGAACCCCATCAAGCAGGTATATGTGGGCCTGCGGGCCGCTCCAAGCAACAGCCTGGTGGACCAAACTCTCACAAGTCAAGCCTAGCCTCGGGCCGGGCTTGGGGAGTAGAAGAACTCCCAGAACCCCATCAAGCAGGTATATGTGGGCCTGCGGGCCGCTCCAAGCAACAGCCTAGTGGACCAAACTCTCACAAGTCAAGCCTGGCCTCGGGCCGGGCTTGGGGAGTAGAAGAACTCCCAGAACCCCATCAAGCAGGTATATGTGGGCCTGCGGGCCGCTCCAAGCAACAGCCTAGTGGACCAAACTCTCACAAGTCAAGCCTGGCCTCGGGCCGGGCTTGGGGAGTAGAAGAACTCCCAGAACCCCATCAAGCAGGTATATGTGGGCCTGCGGGCCGCTCCAAGCAACAGCCTGGTGGACCAAACTCTCACAAGTCAAGCCTGGCCTCGGGCCGGGCTTGGGGAGTAGAAGAACTCCCAGAACCCCATCAACCAGGTATCAACCAGGTATCAACCAGGTATCAACCAGGTATCAACCAGAAGAGGGGAGTAAAGGGAAATACAAGTCTCCGTGGCGCAGTGGTAAGATACTCGCCTGGCGTTTCGCAAGCGCCTTGCCTTGGGTTCGGATCCTGGCTGGGGGAGGATTGACCGGGCGCCAATCCTTAACTGTTGCCTCTGTTCACCCAGCAGTGAATGGGTAACCTGGTTGTTAAACGATTCGGCGGGGTCGTATTCCGGGGAAATTAGGGTTAAGGACCTTGCCCGAAACGCTACGCGTACTAGTGGCTTTACAAGACTGTAAACAAGCACGGGGGGCAGTCCGACCCCCGCACACACAGGATCACAACCGGACACAAATGAGGAGGACACCAACAACAAATAAACAGTAAATCTAAAAATTACACGTAAGAGTATAACATAAAATATATACAAAGAATAAAGCAATTACAAGTACAAAAATATAAACACACACACACACACACAACCCATGCGACAAACACACGGAACAGCAACATACACAACCACACCACCCCTCACCAATACGCCCGCCACACCAACACACGGGGCACATGCAAAGACAGGAAAGAAAAAACACCAAACACCCACAACCACAGCACAAACACCCACAACCACAGCACAAACACCCAAACAGAACAAAGGCAAAGCACAAAACAAATCGCAAATACATCAAAACAGGCCCCGCAGGAGTCAGGAACAAACACCCACACCACACACACGCACAGACAAGGACACCCACCCGTGCACGCAGGCACTGGGGAAACAGCACGCACAACACAGACAGAAACCAACCACACGGATCACTCATACTTCTCCGGGTACTCCTGAGCTGGAAATCGTAAGCAGTAAGCATCCCAAACAAGTTGGGCCGCTTCAGGAATCGGACGTCCAGGAGTCGCAGTAGGCCGAGGCATCAAATCCGGCACGCCAATAATGAAACACCGCGCCCGCGGAACCCAGATGGTAGAATGGCACCAAGGAACAGGACGCACCCGGTCATCAGACTCAACACACAGAGTTTTACCAGATCCGTCGACCACCTCTCCGGATGGGAGGATGATAGGGAAGGGTTTCCCCCTAGGAAGCTGGACACAGGGCCGCACCCTAGGAAGCACACCAGGCTGCACTGCGGGTCGCACATCGGGCCGTCCACTAGGGTGCGCACTTCGTTCAACGCTGGACAACGCACCGAGCCCCGCGGAGGACGGCACCGCAGGCGCCCCAGTGTCCCCACCAATCGGAACAGGAGCAGAGTCCCCCCGTCGCACATCCTTCGACAACACCACTACGAGGTTGCGGTCACCAGGGGCAACCGCCCACTGAGGAGAGCCACCAGCAGGGGTCACAGTGTCCAGCACAGAAGGCAGCACCACGTCGCCCACAGCATCATCATCCATAGCATCTTGCTCCTCAGCCCACGTCCGGCGAGGTGACGCATCCCGAGCCGAACGACAGCGCTTAGAAATAGGCCGTTGATCGTCAGAACCGTCACCCTCTGCAAGCGGTGCCCAAGGAGAACCGTCGGCAGCCGGCCCCAAAGCCGGGGCAGCACGACCACACAGAATGGCAGCCTCAACGACACGGGGCAGCAAGCCACCACCAACCAAGGGGACCGGATCCGGAGAAGGAAGAGACACAGCAGGCGGATGGGTAGACATCAGTACACGTGAAGGATCCAGCGAGGACGACGGATCCGGCAGAGAAGAGGCATGCATCAATGAGGAAACTTCCAGAGGCGACGAGGCAGAGGGCGGGGACAGGGTATCACACACCCCCACCCCGACAGCCCCGGGAAGCACATGTCCTTCCGCAGGAGATGCAGGCACCACCCCTACAGCACCATCCAATGCCATCACTGAAGCAACCGGACGCGGATGCACCTCCGCATCCACCGAACGCCGAAGGTCGCGCTCACCGCCGCAGGAACCACACCAGGCACCTACACAGAGCGAGGACCCGCCGAGGACTCTCCATGCACAGACAAGCGGGGAAAGTCATCCTCCAAGAAAACAGAAGGGG